CAATCCTGTATGGTGTTTTGCAGTTTGTGCTGAAGAAATCCTTAATAAACTTTTGCTTCTTTCTTGGCTATTTATTCCAGTTACATAAAATGTTCCATCCAACATTTCAGTCCCACTGGAAAATGAGGAGAGGTTTGGCTTTTTTATTTTAGTGGATTTGTGATCAAGCTTATAATTGAGATAAAGAAGACTATATGAAAGTTGTCTGAGCAAAAGTATTGACTTTTGCTAAGCCCCGTGAAGCTGAACAATTTGTAGTAATAATAAGAAAATATTAAGTTTCTTAGTCTTGTCAGAGACATCTGGTACACTAGGTCTTGTTTCCAAAATCTGTGAGTGAGTTTTTCAGAAATTTTTATTTGGTAAAAACTGCATTTTCTCCTCATCAAACTGTTTAACATAATTTCTAAATGATTACACATAAATGTTGTGGCATTCTCTTTCTCCAGCTGCAAGCTGCTGTATTTCAGAAAGTGTTTAGGTCTCTAGCAAGCATTTACAGAATAAATTTACTTTCTTAGAAGTATCACTTATCTAATTGTTTTTCCAAGCATGAAACATGATCATGATCATTGTTTAGTTCTGGGTTTGTGTTTTTGTGAAGGCTGCTGTTGGTGGGCCTGAAGGAGGTTCTTCGCGTTGGGAGATTTAGAAGATTTCCCCTTCTCTTTTTTTGGCTTTTAGTCTTAATACATTACCCTGTGAAGATACACTCCTGAATCCAGTTTAGCATGCTGCTTTAAAAACTGAATGTCTGGCTGACTGGGGAAGACCAGGGAGGTTGGAATGGGGTGTGATGCTTTCCTACATCAGGCTAGTAAAATCCTAATCCTCCAGTAAGTCACTCAGAGCTCTTATCTATATGAGGGCTCTTCAGTACCTTATGTGAAATATGTAAGATGTGCTCAGCCTGACTCTCAGGGGAAATATGTTTCTCTGAGAAACACATGCTCCTTCTCATTCCCTCACTCAAGACAGATGGGCAGCTCTCTGGGCCAGAGGATGGAAGGTTTTACTTCCAGCTGTGATTTCTGTTTGTGAATCTGATGGGTGGGTCATCCTGTTCTTGGGCTGCCGGGGGGCTGCTTGCTCACATGCAAACCTACACAGAGGAGCAGCACCTTTACAAAATAAGCTGAAGCACCTCAAGGGAGCTGATGTTGAGCACAGCCTTTTGGAAGCAGAATGCAGGTATACTGATGCACAATATAGACTTATATCTGTCATTTTCTTTCAAATATCTCCTTGATGGAGAACAGAAATGGCAATTTCACAAACATTAAAACCACATTGTTCATTCAAATAGGTAAATGCAGCTGCAAATATCTATCCTAGTGGCACAGACTTATTAGTAAGTACAATTTCTTACATTTGCAAGTAATATTGAATCCCCTGTGTTCCAGTTCCACTACTATAATTACTACTATACACCTGGATAGAATGTCGGTGCTGACACTGTTGGGGAGGTTCAGGTCTGTAAAACTGTCAATCAGTAAGTGATTTTCTCATCAGTCCTGGGTGTTGCTGAAAAGAGCCAGATCAACAGGTTTATTCCATTTCAATTTTCTTTTGTCTGTTTTGTACTTTCTCTCTTAGATCTCTTACTGGGCTTATAGGAACTTAAATTATAAACTTGTCCATCTAAAAAGCTTATTATAACAATGCAGTCCTGGCTGAAATAACCATTTTCAGTTTGATTGCACTGGGAGAGCAGCATACGTATACACACACGTATATAGATGGCTAAAATCTCATCCATAATACTGGTTTTACTATTGCTCTGATGGGAATAACAAAAAACTCCAATGTCTCTCTAGACCATTAAACAAGGAGAATGCAATAATGTTGTGTTTTCCTTCCCTATCTCCACCCTTGACTGCAAATGTGATTTGTCTTCAGAAGTGAAACACCACTTTTTGCCCTGGTGAAAAAAAAATTTAAACCTCTGGAAGTTTCAGAATTGTTTTCTTTCAGGAGGATGAACATCTGAGGGAAGTACCTTACCTTCCCACATAATTAGGTTTGGCTAAATTAATTTCTTCTTCCTCTCTCCAGCTTAGCTGATTGGGTTTCTGTCCTTTCTCCAGCACTGACATGGATATTTTTACCCTGAAACCCAAGTTCTTGTGGTTGAGTGATCATTATTCTTTTGTTTGTATATGCATTAATTTGTGATTCTCTTGAGCATTTTTTCATGCTCATAATTTTGTTCTCTCTCACTATGGGGCTTTTAATTTATGCATTGCAAAGAAACAGTATTACCTCAGACTAAAAGAACTGGGGTTTACAAATCCCCCAGGCCACTAGATGCTCCCTTAGCAAAAGGGAATTAAGCAAAATTGTATTTCATAGGGTCAATGTTTGTTAGCTCAAGGCCTGGTCATTACACAGTATAGAAACAGCCATTCATTCTTATAGCTCTGGGCAGACAGGAGGATTTTGTTAACTGAATCACTTTGGAAAAGGATATGTTGAATGTGTTTCTATGTATCTTCTTCACTTCCATGCCTTGATGCTGCCCACCTGGTGAACCTGATTATCTCACATCAAAACTGGCCTACAGTACAGAGCAGTTTCTGGGGCTGCTGTACATGTGTGTGGTGATGCACAAGCAGAAAGTGCTCTGATGTAGGATGTGGTGATGGTCCTGGAACAGCCTTGGGAACACTTGGGTCCTATCATGAGAATGCTGCAAGCTCCTAAGGCTGGTGGCAATGCTTGTGGGTTTTTTTCTCCTGTAGGTACCACTAGAGGAAACTGGGAGAATGCAAATGTTATAGAGGCAGGTTGTTTGCTTTCAACCTATTTATGTTTTGCTGCTCTGCTAAACTGAACCAGAATTTACCAGTGCGGTCAAACCACCTTGAAACACTGCTGTAAAAGTCAAAAACTCTGTTGCATGTTTAAAAACTAATCTACCTGTCCCTGCACTCAGATTATGGCATTGCTGCAGCTAAGGGAGAGAGCAGGAGCAGGACTGAGGCCGGTGTGCTCTGAGGCACCCTGGCTGCCTGGTTGTCAGCCCAAAAGCTGCCCACAAATGTTCTTCCTGTGTGTGTCTGAGAGTGCCTGGAGGCACCTGGCAGGGTGCAAAGGGGTTGTGACACAGGGAGTCCCACCAGTGCTGGGGATGACTTCAGCTGTGCATGGGACCAGGCTTACCCAGACAGAATCCTCTGGGTGAAAGAAAAGCATACTTCTATTTTTGTTTTGTTTTGTTTTAGTTAGAGAGCACTTTGGAAAGCTGACACTGATTTAGTCACCCTGAGTTGTCTCTCTGAGCCCCTGGCACTCTGCTGGGGACAAACATGTGCATGTTGCTTTGCAGAAGGGATTGCTGCCCACCAGAGTGTGTTCAGGGACACTTGAAGGAAAAGAGGGGCACTGGGACCTTTCACAGATATTACTTCCTAAGGTAATATTCCCTTCCTCATGAAATTAAAAGCAGACAGAAGTAAAAATGGGGTACAATACATTAACTGCAGATTTTCATGGCAAACAGGCACTTCCAAGTCTCCTATGCTAATGATGAATTGTGAGTGAGTATCTTCCATTTACAGGGCAGGCTTTGGCTGCGTGGACATGGCTGGGATTAAGGAAAAAATGTTGGCACTTCAGAGGTTGGTCAGCTGCGATACGCAGATCCTGGGGCTTTGATCCAGAAGCTTATATCTATCTCCCTGTGAAAAACAGAATGAGGACTCTCTAATGGAGGAGACTTTAGTCTGTCTCAGACTTCTTCACTTTCAGCTAAATCAGAGACACACACAGTTTGAAATGCCAAAGTAAGTAAAAACTTCATAGTTACTGCTATCTTTAAAATTCTCATATCTTTGCAGAGATAGGGAACGTTTCCTGTCACCTCAGTGTAGACAGCTTTTATGTAGGGGAAAAACGTTAAAGAAGCAGTAAAAATAATCCTCTGTTGGGATCTGCATACGACAGAGTTTGTGACTACAATTTAAACATATTTTTTTCTGTTTACGTAAGTAAAAAGAGAACTGTGACAAGCTCTTTAAAGGATGAATATTGTACACTCTTGGGATGCTGTAAAGACCTATTAAAGTTGTAAGCTTTTCTCCAAGCTTAGTATTATTCCATAAAGACTAAGGATGGCATTCTATTTCCTGAGGGGAGAACCTGTGATAATCGATTATATTTTTTGACTTTGAAAAGAAAATAGTGAATCAATTCTGTTACACCTTTGGATCAGTTTGAAAACTGGTCAGTGGTAATGGTTCTTCCCTTGCAGTTATGTGCCCTAGCACATTAGAATGTCAAATAATATGCAGTTGCCTTTAGAATTGTTGTTCTAGATTTAAGAAGTATAGAAGTGTATAAGAAGTGTATTTTGTTTATTAAATTTAATACCAATAAATCAATAGCTTCCTATCCAGTGTCATACATGCACCCTTGGTTTATACTTAAAGATCTCTATACAGGATTTGACCACTGACTTTATGAGGTGTAAAACCCTGGTTTTGAATTCAACACTTGTAGACATTAAATGTTCAGCCTTGTCAGGGCACATGGCTCACCATTGCAGTCCCTGTTTGGCAGATGAGACAATCACAGTTCGTGTGGCCATAGGCATAGGTAAACTCAAAAGCCCAGTGAGAGCCTGGTGGCTTCAGAACTCACCAGGACAACTTGGATTTCAACCTTATCCCCAAAGAAAGCCTACTGTGTTTAGTCGATGAGCATAAAAGGAGGGAAATATATATATTCCAACTGTAATGAGAGAGCTGAGATCAACATCCACCATGCCCAATTTAAAGGTTTGAAAAATGTAAATATTGGTATGATACAGGCAAGTTGCTACTTGTTTCTCACTCCTTTTTTGGGGAATAATTTAACTCTAAGCATCCCTAATAACTGGACCTAGATAGAGTAATGTCCCTTCCAAGGTGTAGGTTTATGGTTATCATTAAGCTACTCAGCAGTGTTGAATGCTGGGCAATTCTGCCTCAGCAGAACTGGAGTAGGTAAGATTTTTTTTCTTTTTCTGGAACAAATTTTGGAATTGAGACTTAAACCAACTATTTATACACAAAGAAGCAGAATGGTAATTTTTACAAATGCTCATCTCAGCTTCCCATCTTGCAGAAATACGTGCAGCAGTTTAATGCACACGGACTCAGAAGTGTTCCCTGCTCAGCCTCAAAAATGAGGCTACTCATGTCTCAGCAGTTAGCTGTATTCCTGCAGAACACACTGTCAGGCGTTGAGAGTCACTGTGCCAGACTGTCCTGAGGGAAGGAGAAAAAATATAAGGGGACAGAGCTAGAAACAGCCATGCTGCTAAACTTTTCCTCTTTTTAAATATGCTGGGTTTCAGGGCATTCACCCATCATAGGTGCCTGAGTTAACAGACCTGCAACCCTACACATTCAGGGGTTAAATCCTCAGAACTTATTGCTAAAGAATGTTTTTCATTTGGCCTTAATTATGCAGGAAGGTCAATATAATCATAGTTATTATTTACACATCTCCTGGCATCTGCTCAAATTCATCTTTTTTGCTACTTCCTGGAAAAAGTTAAAGTATTTTCATTTCTTGGTAGAGTGATGTTGTGTTAGTACATTTAGTAAGAATGGATGTTCAGTTTGCTGCCAGTACTGTTTTGGATATGTGTATTACTGAAACATCCCTTACTGTAAGTACCATTTACCCTCCCATCCCAAAAATGGGTAGGCTACTTCCAGTAGTACCACTCTACTATTACACTCCTATGAAAAGCATGATAATGAACCAAACGCTTCTTTTGCAGTTACTGTTTTCCAGCCTCTAAGAGGAGGATAAGATTTACATTTGACCTCTTCCCCTTTCTTTGGCTAGAAAAACAGCATGATCTATTTCAGCGTTATAAACCCCAAAGTCCCATTGCACTAAGAAATATTAAATCCATCCAATAAATTATCATTAGGATAAATGAACACAATTTAAGCAGGTCTTGGAAGGCTATTCAGGATTCTCCCAGAGAGCTAATTTCAAAGGAGTTCTGCCCTTCCACTGATATTCCTATTTATTTCTACAAGGTGGTTAATTTCAAGCGTAACTGTAAAAGTATGTACCTATCCATAAAAACATTCTTTTCCCTCTTCAAGGAAAGATCCTATACTGGCACAGATTTTCATCTCTCATATCACGAGATTACATAACATCTAGAAATCATGTCATATTTATGCATATGCCTCCCTTCCGCTTGAGAGGCAGGCCAGGTCCACAACATCTGGAGGGCTGGTGGATTTGTATGCAGTTAATAAAGACAGCAAGACAGCAACCTGGAAATGAGGTGCAGCTGCACAGATATTCCCATATAGCCACTACCCCTATACCCACATCTTGCATATAAGACTGCATTATATTTACCCTTGTACAGATCCTCATATGACAAATGTGTCCAATTCTTGACTGAGAGTACCGAATAAGAAGTGATCCCAGAACTGTAGGGAAAAGGGAGACAAGTGTACAGTCTTCAGCACCAGAACTAGGATGGTTCACGGGTTTTCTTTGGGTTTTGTTTTTTGATATTTTTAAAACATCCAAAGCATATTTTTCATTGACAATAGGAAATTATAAAGGCAGTACTCACCACTAATTCAAGTTTACTTCTCGATTCAACATGTACTTAAAGGTAGTTATGTTGCTGGAAAAAAAATTAAAAAAAAAAAGAAAGGATTTTTTAAAAAATTGTATATTTGATTATTCTGCATAGTTTTAGCTTTTGGAACTGCTCAAAACTATTTGAGTTGATACTAAGTGACATATTTTGGGAATAAGATCTGAAAAACTTAATCTTATTCTAACTCTGAATAACCTACTTTACAGCTGGAACCAGGATTAAAAAAAAATTAAAAATCTGGAAACAGTTGACAAGTTTAAGAGCTTAAGCGAGGACTATGAGAGTGGATAAGTTGAGCATGTCGTGGTATCAGCAATGAGAAATGAGGAACAGCTTTGCTGTGTGCAGAGGACTGAAATCTGTAACTTGTTGCATGTCTAAACAGTCCACTTGAAAAAGCAAGTGAAAGGTTTGCTGAGATAGCAGAAAGCCTGAAAAGAATTGGCTTCAAAGCAGGAAGAAACTGCAAAGAATTTTTGATTTTACAAAGAAAAATGAAAGAAAACCGAAAACTTTTTGAAACACAGAATTCCAGGCTCTGTTCTTTAACTGAGAATTATCAGCAGAGATATTGGAAAGCTGCATTTGCAGCATGTGGTGTGTTCTGCAAATTATTATCAGGCAGAAATCATCACATAAAGAACACATGCATTCATACATTAAACACTTTCCTCTTGAGAACAAACACTGTAACAACAAAAAGAAACAGAATTGTGAAGATCATCGGTTGGCCTAAAAAGTACAGTTTTTATTTTATGGCTACCATTTTATTTCATAAAAGTAAACTTCCTCCCACTAATACAGATGAATTGGTAGAGAATTGTATAACGTCTCCACCAAGTCTCTTATTCCAAGCCCAGTAAGTGAACTTAATCAAGCATGTGCTGCTTCAGTAGTGCCACAGCATGGCTATCAGAACAGATGAATTTGTGTGTGTAGATATACAGAGCTATACAAAGATACAGAAAACCTGCCGTCTTCCAAAAATGTACAAATCCTTTTTTCCCAGGCAAGGCTGTAAAAGGTAACATATACCATGTGCTAAGTTACCAGGCTAAAAAAAAAGGATATTGTGGGCTTTTGGCACAGAACAACAGAGAGCCTCAGGTAGATTGGTAAAGCACTGAATGCCAAAGGTTTAAAAAATCAAAACCTCCAGCCAACAGAGAAAAAAAAAATGAAGAAGGAAAAGGGTATTTTTCAGAACTGTGCCAGGACCTTAAGATTTGCTAACGTAAAACAATTTTGAAGAGGGAGAAACACGTTTTCCGAATAGAGGGAAAAGTTAGATGTAGGACTTTGGTATTTTAAAAGCCTTTAGTTATTTGCCAAACCAGGAATGAGAATGGAACCCACCAGTAATGGAAAGAATGATGTTGTACATAGATATATCCATGTGAAGCGCTAGCATAAAATCACACATGGATCATTCTTTCTTAAAGCAGAGAGTATGTTTTTGTCTAGGCTGAGGAGTATTTCTTCAGTACCTACCTAGATGAAGCTTGTGTGTGAAACAGACTAAAGATGAGCTCGAGATGTTCTTCACAACCAACATACATTTGTACCCTTACAGCCTTGTTTCAGTACAACAAGAAAATATTTTCTGTACATACAAGCTGTTGCAGGCACTGAGTGTTTACTGGAAAAAACAGTCCCATGAGAGCATCTCCAAAGATATTTTCATCTTAATGCTCTCTTGTGTTAAGAAAGATCTTTCACGCTAGAAAAAATAGTAGGTTATTGCATATTCCAATAAACAAGACCATTGATGATGGATTGATAAGATAATTAAAGCTTTTATCCAGGCCTTTAAAACCCTGACCTACTGTAGCCTAGAAACAAACAGTGAGAACAAAGATTCTCACTGAATTCAAGATCAAGCAGTCTCAGACACCCACATGATTTTCACATGGAAGAAAAGGTCTTTATAAAATAATCCTGATCTAATACACAGAGACCAGAACTGACACCTAGAACAAAATTCATCTGCTGACGGATGGCGCTGAATTAGTGCCTAATGCACGGGGGGAGGCAACCAAAGACACCCAACCCATGTATGTGGCAGAGTATTCTTTGCCCCTTGACAGTTCTGAACAATGCAGCTTCACTGTCTTCTGTGGAAAACAATATACCCACACTCTGCTATCAAAGCAAAGACCTGTGTATTTGAGGGTAGATGTATCAATTTTTCTTTTTTTGTTTTTGTTTTCTGAACACTCTATAGCAATAGCAAGGTTTCAACAGGCCTGATGGGTTTATGACTGGGTTTATAGGCATCAGCTGAGAATTTTCCACAATGACTGTCATTCAATACACTTTTACCACAACTTCCCAAATGATGTATTTCCTCATTATGTCATTTTGACCTTTTAGAAGATGTTTCTCTGCAGTTTCTGTATTAGATAGACATTGAATTTTGAATTATTTGTCCCTTTTTTATGGATAGCTACTTAGAAATAGTGTGATCAGTTAAAGCAGAATGTCCTGTGTGTTAAAATAATACATATGCCCATAGGGTGAATTCAACCCGAACATCAGCCTGAACATCTTACAGATCAGTAAGATAATTGGCAGATGATTTAATTGAATTGTTCCTCTGTCTTAATCCTAATGAGGTTTATAATTTTCTTTTCTTTTTATATTTTTCTTTTTTTTTTTTTTCAGAAAAGTGTTTTCTTTAGCAAGGCCATTCCTAGGATGAAAAGGGTATTATTGAGTTTATCAACAGAGCTACTACAATGATTTTCAGAAACTGATTTTTGAAAGTGTCTGTTTAAGCTTGTTAAAACTTATCTGTTTTCAAACATGAACTGAAAGATCCTACCAGCTGTGCAATGGAGAGCCAACAGAGACATGCAGCTACAGCACTGCATGGGGACAGTGTTTTTCTCAGCTATATACAGGTCAGCCATGCCCACATGGTTCTGCATTAAACAAGTCCTGTCCTTCAGCAGAACTTAATTTAGGGGAACATTATCCAATATGATCATGCTGCACCTAGCTCCAAAGACAGCTCAGGAATGCCTCATCCTCATTCTAGGATGAGATGCTGATGTGCCCTAAATATTTTTCTTGAACTCAAGACTCTTCAAGAATTCTAGGTTTTTAGTCCTATCCTTTCTCAACATCTTGTTTTTTACTTTTTAAAATTCAAAACTTGAGTACCTATTTTCAGAAGGTCCAAAGTAAAGAAATTGTAAGGAAATGAAGCATCTCTTTGTGTCTCCCAAGGGAAGCTTGAGAGATATTTCAAAAACAAACATTAGCTTTTATTAAGGCCTCCTTTAAGAAACTCTGTGTTCAGTAGGCTTCCAGTGAAATTGCCTCACTTGTATCACAGAAAAGTTAGGAACAACACTTCAAAATCTGCATTCCTATGGGCAATCAAAATTGAGGTACAGTCATGCTAAAATTCACAAAATTTAGGTCCATTTTACCCATGTAACCCTCAGCTACCCCATAAAAAGCACAATTTCTTGGCTGCTGAGCAGAAAGGAAAAGTTTATCTGAAAGAAATATACATAGTTAAAAAAGGAAAGTCTTAATGGTTTTGGGTTTTTTAAAAGATTTTCATAGGGAGTTATTTCACTAAAGCATTCCATGGGATGGATCCAAAACACACAAGTAGATTGCCATTCCACTTTAGCTTATTTGGTTTGCTATTTTAATATGAGTTTTCCAGAAGACTTTGGGGCATGGAGAGAAGAGTTCAGTTTGCCTGTACCAGGCCTTCTAAAATCTCCAAAATGCATTCCTACTCCTGTGTATAATGTGTTTCCATTTCAAGACAGTGACAGTGGGACAATAGGCTAGAAGTGCTTAAGTGCCTTTTTTTTTTTTTTTTTTGAAGAGTGAGGTTTCTTTTTTGCGGGTAAGGTTAACAAGAACTGATTTCCTTCAGTTTTCAAGCACCCTGGTATTAAAGGAAAAGCTCAAGATGAATGTATGTGTTGCTAATATTTTTTTACCCTGTGCTGCGCTTGCTCTTTCAAAGTCTATCGTATCATGTCTACAGCTATTTTCACTGGACCTTTATCTATTTTCTGCTTCAGATCATAAAAAGGACACTCAGTGGTGGTATGAAAACTTAAGAGCTGGGATGGAAGGGAAAATAAAATAAAACAGTAAGAGAATGTGTTCATTTTGCTGGCTGTTGCCTCTGATTTTATCAATAGGAGGAAGCAATAGAGGTCAGCTCAGAAGGGCTCATTCAGAAGTACGCAAAGTGCTAGCTCATCCCAAAAAGTTCTACAAAGCAACAATTTAAGAAGGGACTTTACATTGGTAAGTAAATAATTCATCATAATCTCCACAACTATTACATTTGGATTTTATGATTAATCAGGTAGTACTGAGCAGTAAAAGCAAGGATAGAAAAAACCATAAAAACAGCTGCAAGAAGCTTAGGACAATAAACATTTGGAGGACACATCCAAGTGTCTTTGGCAATCACATGCTGAACACCCCACCCCTTACAGAACTCACCAAACTAAGAAACTCCAAAATAATTTGCAAACAAACCCAAATTTACAAACCACAACAAAACTTCAGGCAGAAGTGAAACAATAAATAGGACTACACGTAGCAGCAGGACCACAACAGTTTGTGTCTGTAACAGCTCTTCAGTTCCTCACAGGTAACATGCTGCAGCATTTCCCTGACTTACCAACTGGGGCTGGAGAACTGACAAAGGGAAAAAGAGCTGAAATAGTGAAAAGATCAAGCAAGACAAATTATTTTGCAGTTAGACCTCTTTTTTTTTTTTTTTTTATGAAGTAGGTAAGGTTTTACCCTGATAGTCATGTTTTTATCACAGATTTGACAAGATGTCCTTGCTAGAGCAGCAGCTTAGGAACTCAGTGGGAGTTAAACAATGAATGTTCAAGTCTGCTTTAAAATGGAAATAATAAATTGGAAAGGAGGAAGTCCTTTTAAAAATCAGGTAGTATTTTCCAGTAGTATTATTGAGAAGGACTCATTTACCCCCTCTTTAAACATTAATGCTGAAAAGACTGGCCACCTTCAGCATGGAATACTTCCATTACTTCTATAACACTGCTTTTAAACTGATGTAATTTGTACCCTGGGAAATTAGCCCTCTGTGTAACAAGGAGAGGGAACACCAAAGAGAAACTGTTAAGGTTTTCTTTCAGTACTGGTATCACATTAGGTAACCTCTGCCTCTTCCCATTTACCATCCACACTACAGTGGTGGCAGCCTTTAAGAGAATGAATGCACAGAGCCTTTTTGCTGGGTCCTTCCAAGTCCCAGAACAATTCTCCAAAGCAGCTTATTATGTCACCTTTGACTGCATTACTGGCACAGGCTGAGGAAGTGTAAGGACAAGAAAAACAGCAGAAATAAAGAAAACAGTGCTTGAGCTGACACTATGGAGATGAACGCACTCATCCAGTGCCCTTAGTCGCTGAGACTGGGGTCTTAGTCCAGCAGGGTGAGCTGGGGATACGCAGAATACATTTTAGCCTTGAGTAACACACTTCAAATTCATTAAACAGGGCAACAGTGATTTTAATGATCATTCAGGAGTTCAGGAAAAAGGCTGCAGGATTTCACCACATGTTTTCTGAGCTTCTTTTCAAAGGAATCAGAAGCATGTTAGTTAAGTGCTTGGTAATGAGGCTTTTGGCTCTGTTGTTTAGCTGAACAGTTTCTCTAGGCCTTGCACATCTTTTACAATAGCTGTGTGTTTAGATTAACACAAAACTATCACATGCAGGTAGCCCTTGTTTTTTTTTTTTTCTGATTGGCATTTCAATTGATCATATCTCCTTTCAAGAGCGTTTGTGAGCCTTTCTTTCCCGTTTTGCAAGATTTCGGAAACTAAGATTCCTTTCAGGAAAGGAAACGGAATCTTGTGATTTCAGAGGGGATCAAAGTGGACAGCTTTGGTCCATAGCCCTGCCCTTGCTGGCATGCCATGCCTTTTGCTGACTTTGGCTTGGGCGGAGGTTTTTGAAATTTTATTTATTTTTTTTTTCTCTCCAGGCCATTTCACATCTGTCTTGCACTCACTGTCCTCTCTTCCTCCTTGATTTTTCCCCTGGTTTTGCAGCATCTCTGAGCTTTGTTTTGGCATCTTTTCTCCTTTCCACTGCACTTCATTTGCTCCCAGACCATTTTCTTGTGCTCACTGCATGTCCCAATTTTCCTTTTTTTTTTTTTTTCTCCTCTCAACAGCAATTCACTTGGTCCTATCTTCCTTTCCAGAGCCTTTGGGAAAGGAAAGGTTCTGCTCAGGAAAGGAGATATGGTCAAGTGAAATGCCAATCAGAAAAAAAAAAAAAAACGGGAAATTGGGAAATGCAGTGAGAAGAAGAAAATAGTCTGTGAGCAAATGTGGTGCAGTGGAAAGGGGCAAAATATGCCAAAACAAAGCTCAGAGATGCTTTGCAGGGGGAAAATCAAGGAGGAAGAGAGGATACTGAGGGCAAGACAGACATGAAAAGGCCCGGAGAGCAAAAAAGGAAATTTCAAAAACTTCTGCCCAAGCCAAAGCCAGCAAAAGGCATGGAATGCCAGCAAGGGCAGGGCTATGGACCAAAGCTTGCCACTTTGATCCCCACTGAAATCTTGCAAAACAGTAGAGAAGTCTCCCAAAGACTGTGGAATGGAGATAGGACCAAGTGAAATATCATGGAGGAGAAAAAAAAAAAAAAATAGGAAATTGGGACATGCGGTGAACACAAGAAAATGGTCTGGGATCAAATGAGCTGCAGTGGAAAGGAGAAAAGATGCCAAAACAAAGCTCAGAGATGCTGCAAAACACTTTGCAAAGGAGTAGAGCTGACTGAGGTCATACCTCCTCTATTTATCCTTGAGTGCAATGTCCTGACCAGGGTGAGAGCCTCCCTTTTAACTTCCTGCACAGGGAGGAGGGAAGAGGTGGAGGCCCTGATTCCTCTTTTGCTGGCTCCCACCCCCTCAGAGGCAGCTGTTCATGCTTCCCAGAAATGACTCCAGGTTTGGTTGGGCACAAAAAAACTGCTCACGTCCACAATCTCGAACATTACGAGGACTACACACAGAACTAGGCTGTTCTCTGCTCCATAAAGAGATCTGCCAAAAGAAAGCGAGCAGAGGAGTACACCCTCACCAACCTGCAATATCTGAAACTCTGTAAACACCTTTATCCAAACGCTCTTCTCACGGGGTTCCGTGCTCCTGGTAGCCAGAAAATCCCATGGTTGGGCCTGCACAGGCAGGACCCACTTGTTTTTAAGCAAGCAGAGATGAGGTTGCTGCAGAGGAGAAGGAGGCAACTCTGTTGAAGTGAGATCTCCAAGACAAAAAGTGAAAGTCCCATTGTTGAACCCTCTGATAAAACCAGCAACAATAAGATTTCCTTTCTATTTCCTTTCTATCACGTATAACTCAGCCTTAATTGAATTAGCTGTTTCAGTCTTAACACTAGAGTTCAATGCCCTGCTGCTGGAATGCATTCAGCTGGCACTGTTTCACTTATACACAAGCTCAGCCTACCTGAGAACTAATTTTAAATTAAACCTGAGCTGAACTCTGTCCTGACAAGACTGTTGCTGAAAGCTGAGCAAGGTCGTTTCAAGCCAGCGTGTTAGAAGAGACTTGCCTTTATTTGCGGTCTGTCTCAATGCTCGTCCCTGCAGGATCCACCCCAACCATTCATCAAGGTTTGTATCACTCTGGGCTTCAAAGAGCCAAACCAGCCATGGTATCATGCTCTGCTGCTCCTTTGTGGCGTGCCCAGGCATGCTCAGCACACACTGACAATGAGCCCGGTGGGGACATGCCAAGGCCTGCATTGCAATTCTCCAATTCTCCTTGCCTGCCTTCAGGAGACGACTTGGCGATCTGAGAAAAGAAAACAAACAGCAAACTCCTACCAGAGTGGATTTCTAACAGTACTGGAAATTCTTTTAGCATTAAAAATTGAAATTTTTAAAGGAATTTTTCACGTGATTGTGTAGCAGAACTTTGATAGGCAAATATGTAGTAGGTAATCATTGCTGCTGTCACATAAATGCTTAACTCATGCTCCAAAATTTCAGTTCATCATTTTGGAAACTACAAGATGTCAGGCTCTCCATAGTAACTTTCATTAGAGGTATTAATTTGCAGAAATGCTGTTCATCTGCCTCTCAACATCAAATCCCAAGAAGCTCTTCCCCTTTAGGAATTCAAAATAACTCATAATTTGAATTTACCTCATGTACTCAGCCTTAAGGCGTCATCCATCTGAGAACAGGAAATACTAGTAAGGTAAACAGAATAGAATACACTTTTGTCAGACTTTACAGATAGCAGGGGTTGGATTTCTCCTTTCTGCAAGCCTATATTTCCCTCTAATACAACAAACATAGCTTTAGGCAGAGGCATGTAGAATGGTTTCCAAAATAAATAAGTTTCAGAGGTTATGTGATCCTTAGAAATGTCTCTCAAATGCAGTCCAGGCTAAGCAGCACCTGCCTGTGAAAGTAAACAAGAGAAAGTCTAAATTAGGCTGAACAGAGACCTGGATTACCCTCCTTGGACTGCTTCTGAAAGCTGAGCACTTGAAAGGTGCAAGCACAAGTGCACTTTCCTCAGGGCTGCAGAGAAGCACAGCCTTGCTGGGGTGCTTCTGCATCCCATAAGTCAAGCACAAGTCCTTACTTCTGCAAAATCCCCAGCTCTGATTGATTTGTTTTTGCTCTCTGTGTGTCTGGTGTCACAGACTCCTGCTGGTTGTGGATAGAGAGATTGAACATCTGTGGGTTGTTCCCATGTTTTTAATGGTTTAGACCAAGACCTGGTTTGAGGAAAATCTACCATCTTTAGTGGTTTTAAAGTTTCTCT